CCTCAATTACTGAGGGCAAGATAATAAAGTGCCAATTTCGTGCTCACTAGATATTTATAGTTAACCTGGATTCCATAATGCCTATGAGGCTTATGCATCTGAAAACTACCATGACTGATATACTGAGTTCTTATAGTACGTTCCTCAATTACTAAGAGCTGAACCTTAAATGAGCTGATTTCGATCGGGACAACCAGTTGATTTCAAATAATATTTAATCTGTGCTCGCGCTGCCCTCTATCTCAAAAACGATTCAACGTATGAAAAAATGTTAGAAACAAAAGTTGAAGAGAATTTAATTCTCTACAATATTGATAACAAATATAATTAGCATAAAACCCATTGGAAACGATTTATTGGCAAAAAACGTGCAAAAAGTCGTTTTTTTTTACTTTTGACCTCCAATATTTGAAGTTGCGGTCGTCGAATCGTATATGAATTTTGAGAATACTTTCATGATGCCAAAATACAAAGTTTATACAAATTCACAGCTGGGTATGTCAACTTTCCGAAATACAGGCCTAAATCGACCTAAAATGACTGGACTAACTTCTGCCAAGTTAGCAAAACCTATATAGTGATTAACATACTCGAAAGCTTTTGTGAAATGTCAAAATACTGCTCTAATAAATTTGTCACCATTGAGTACTTATGATAGCTACCTATCAAAAAAATAAACAGCATCATGATAAAGAGCCAGACTAGAGAGATTTGCAAATATTTATAACCGTTTTTTGAACCCATTGAAAGGTACGCCTATGGTATTGATGATCTGCCTGGAGGCAAAACTAGACTGATATAAGCAGGTAATGTATACATGGATGAGGAAAACCAGAATACGATTATAAAATTGAGTTTATTGAATTAAAAAATTGATAAAAATTTGTAAAGGAACATGAAAACCACGTTAACTCATGTTTTAACCATCGTAGATGGTTACAACAATTACAACAATTACAGTCGTTTCACTACCGCCCGCTAGATGGAGATAGTGCACAACTTTCCGTCACAGTCATGCAATATCGCAGGATGCCTGGAGCGAAGCCAGATGCCAGGACAAAAACGACAAAATAAAAACAGTTGACTGGCGAGAGGCAACAGCGTAGAAGTAGCGAAACTTTTCTTTTCCCTTGAGAAGGAATATGTGAATTATGATTTCGTGTTTTCTGTGAAAATGACTACCAAACTAGTGTTCTACTCGGTTTATGTTGTGATAATATTTGTGTCGAGTGTTTGCAATAAGGATATCGGCTCGGAAACTAAATTAGGTAAGTGTCCGATTTCATTTTGGTTGTGGGTCGCTAGAGAAAGAATCTACTGCTTTTTCTTTCGGGTGGTGAGTGTGTGATGACTTCAGGTACGTTTTGCCAACCCTCCGGACTGACGTGTACGACCAGGGGTTCTGTTTTGGGTTGGTGAAAAAATCATCTCATATGGAATTTGGGAACGTACGGCAATGTTTATTTTTAAAATCCACCAGAATCGTATCAGCAGTGAGGAATTGATACAGAAAGTATTTAAGTTCATTGACAACTACAAATCATATTACGATTATTGAGTGTTTTTAAATTGAATCTGAACCTAAACAAAAAAAGATTTTTAGATTTTGTAAATGATGAATTTACACCCCGCCAATTACTGGCTAAACACTTATTGTTTATAATAAAATCAACATACATACTACCTACCAACAATGTAGTTTTTCCTTTCCTTACACTGTAACTTAACCATTGAATAACTTCTTTTCGAAATGTTCTATAAGTGTTTTTTTTTGTGTTTAAGTAGTTTAATTCAATATTCATTTTATTACATGCATAAACTGTATAACTTAGTTTTTTATTGTGGAATAAAGAGTTATTTTTTACATTATCATTAATTAATTCTCAATAAAAGACGTTTCTCGACAAATATAACCTACCTAGAAATGTATTATACAGTAAGTTCAGTGATGTAAGTTCTTATTAATGAATTGTAGCCGTTACTACGTGGTGGAATGAAAAATGGGAAATACAACTTTCATTTTTTTACCACTTGTATTTGAAACTAACCTTCAGTTTATTTTATCATTTCGAAAATTTTCTTATAGGACGAAACTGCAGTAATGTTAGTTACAGATAGATACAAGTGGTATAAAAACATAGACAAGTTTATTTCTCCTGTTTAATAAGTTTTTATTCCTTGAATAAGTCTTTATGTATACAAGTTTCCAATCCCTAAAAAATACGATTGTGGATGCAGGAAAACACAGCCCCTCTGAAACAAAGTATACTTTCAGGCACTCTACAAACGAGCAAATATTTATTTATTTATATAGTAGGCAAGCCTAATATACAAAAAAAATACAAATTTATAGATATCTCACAAAATTATTAAACTATCTAAATATAATGAGCATTTGAAAGTACATTTAAAGGAAAACAAAATGTACATACATACCTATCTATAGATNCTTGGATTTGGGAAGAAGAAAACCTCAATTAATAAACTTTCTGCAGCTGAAAGACCAGTTAGAGAAAGTAATGAACATCAACCAGTGAGTATAATTCTTCATTACCTCATTAAAACTGTTGAAAAATATTAAAAACGTAATAGATTTCATTCACAAGAATGAATAAATACAAAATAATAATGACAGCTGTGAATTGGTGAAACTTTTGTTTGACCGAATCACGATCCATATTATAGCTTCTCTGTTGCAGGTTAGTGAAACAGAAGAAGCTTGCCAAAGTTACCGAAAATAAAGGAACGATCTTGGAGAATATCTTTCCTGTTAATATTGATCCAAAATACAAGTGGAACATGTGGGACTACAAAAGAGAAGCTTTAATACTGGTAACTCTTTTTTGTCATTGAATTTCTCTTCTGCGTGTCACATTTTGTAGAATATACTACTGGTTAGGTCGATATATCTATGACTATCTGAAACTTATTTGTAGCCACAGAAGTATAACTTAGAGTTAAGTTATAGTTCTGTGTTTGTAGCGAAGCAATCTATGATATTGACGTCACAAAGCACGTATGTAGGTGTTCTCTGATTGACATCTCTAATCGAATGTATACAGCCCGCGAAATTTGAACTTTGCGATCACTTAGAGACATTGAAAAACGTTTGCAGTTATGAATGGCAGGTTGTACAATGACGGTAAACATAGCATTTGAGGCTCGGGGAACAAAATCATCGCCGGTACATCGCAAAACCTATCGTAAGAGTTTCGTGCTGATAATGTTCGTCCACAAAGAAGGTACGCAGATGCCATGTGCTCTGTTTTGTGTTAGTCCATTATGATAATAATTAAAATGTGTAAGAGTCTTTTCGAAAGTGAAGAATAAGGGACTCCTTCATTCACACCGGTATCCAGGCCAGGGTGTTTCGGATAACTACGTAAAGGGGGCTGTATATGTGAAAAAAAAAACAACGACAAAAATGGGTGGCAGCATTGCTTCGTGCAAGACCGCTACGCCTCCCAACGAAGCTCCTGTCAACCTTAATAGGAGGAGCCTGGCCAAATGTGCCCGAGTGGGAGGCAATGACCATTGATATAAGAGAGAAAAAGAAAAACTATCGTAACAACGTCATAAACTTGTCGCAAAATATTTGACGACGCGCATTTAGATGTGACAACGCCTCAGACTAACAAAAGACAATACAGGAGATGCCTTTTCCATCCTTACATTGAAGGCAGCATAACTTTGTTTACGAGAAGTAAGTTGGACCATAAAACAGTGGCGGTTGATTTAGTTGATAATCGAAGGGATATTATATATTTATAAAATAAAGCATTTCAGGTGAAAATGTATTCTGTTTAAATAGTTCTTACAGGAAATATGATTTATTATTAATGATTATGGAAATGAGGCCANATTCGGTTTCAAGAAACACGTTTCATAATCTAGTGTTCAGAGTCGTCTGAAAGTTTGGAAATCGGAAATGTGGAATGAGATCTATGAACATCATAAAAGGTCACATTCTAAGCAGCCCGTAATAATACAAGTAGCAATCAGGGAATCATGATGTGTCATAATAAGTAATCCATCTCCTGAAAATGCTCACTTGATTGTGGTGTACCAGAAAAGTGTTTTCATTAGATTGATTTGATATTGTTTTCATTATCTCAAGACACACGTGTCTTGAGATTTGTCAATAAAATAATTAGAATGAGCAAACATTAGGGAGTGATGCTTACCAGATCGTAACAGAATATTAGAAATCATTTGTACTAGTTCAAACAATATTTATTGATTCATCAATTTATATTTGTCCCCTTCAAAGTTGTCCCCCCCCCCGATATACCATTATGTCAGGGGCTAGTACTAGAGTGCCACCAAGATTTAGCTGAGCTAAACCTCGGTAGAGAATAACATTACCTTGAGGAGTAAAGGTAATCGCATTGCCGACTCTTTAGCCAAGGAAGCGGCTGGACTAAGACTTTTAGGACCCAACTAAGGAAACACTTCCATATTTTGGGGCTAGTGGACACACCTCAGTACAGGATGTGTGAACAGGAAGATGAAATTGTCAGGCATGTCTTTAGGCCGGGACACACTTGTTCATACACCTCTCCGATCCGACTCCAGTTCGATTTTGCCCCAAAGATCGAATCGGTGCATACATGCTTTCGACTTCTTTCCGATTTACCACTCCGGCTTGATACAGTTGTCACTCTCGTCAGTGTCGATTCAAACAATATCTTGAAAGGTCCTCTAAACAAAATGTTCCAGAATTTTAGCAACTGCGAAGGAGCCATCAAGGCACTCTGTTTGGAAGAAGAAGATGAGGAAAATCGGAGAGCTCTCATAGCAGAAAACAGCGGCACAGCTCTTCAGTCTGTTCATATATAACTGTTTGT